GGCGAGTGTTGGAAGGTCCGCTTATAAGCTTTTAAGGATTATCGTATTAAAATCAGCAGGGAGGTGCAGAGAATTTAATAATTTCCCTGGATGCTGTGTTACTATTGTGGTAGAAATGAGAACAACCTCAGCATGGTGCTAAGACCTTTATAGGAAACCGGTTAAAGGTCAGCACATTCATGAGAAAAACGGCTGCCATATTTTTCTAAGTTTCACTCATCAGAGGTCAGCGATTTGTAAAAAAAAGAAACCATTAAATCAAGTACAGCTATATGCAGTGTGGCATTAAAGTAAGTGTTGATTAGAAAAAGGTCAGCAAGAGTCAAAAGGTCATTCCTGGTAGAATTGAGTTCTAGGACTTCTAAGGACAAGTTGGATAAGATGTGGAAGTGATTAATGGGTTGCACTACTAGATAGATGGTTGAGCTTATGATCAAAATCCTTATCAAAGTAGAAGATTGAAGCCACTTTCAGATAGCTAAAGGGCAGGATCCAGCATGAGTGGATCTGGATGGACAAAGGGTAGAGGCCAAAAGACTGATAAGGTTACAGGACTGATATAAATTGTACAAAGGGAAAGATAAAATAGACACAGAATAGTGTGAATGTGTGTTGTTGCCAGGTTGCATTATAGGTTAGGAAATACATTGGTGAAAGGACGGAGGGTGATGCTCTGATACATGAAAAAGGGACACTCAAGATCAGGTCACTGCCGATATGAAGTGCACAGCTAGAATGGGAAAGATCAAAGGAAGATAGAAATCATAGAAATAATCCTCTCTGTGGGACGGTTGAAATTACGTAAGTAAAAATAAACTAGAATTGTGAAATTCTCCAGGCAATTCATGTAAAAGGCTGCCAAACTCTCCCATCTATGTCAGGTGGTCCTCGTGGCTGATAAAGGACAATCATGTGAAGAGGTCTGTGCTGAGTTATAGCGATGGTACAGAATCCCAAATGACAGAAAATGGTATGAGTGACAGAGGAGGAATAAGCAATTCCCACTCGGAGGAGATGAACAGACCTGAGCCGCAATGGCCTCGAGGCCTGAGAGAGAGCGTAGCAGGTGCCCCGGCGTTCTGCTAAAGAGTGATTTATGTACACGCGAGAGCAACAAAATGTAGAAACATGATCGGAGCACATCCTCAGATGAACTCCGGACTTTTCGGACCGCTGACTGATGGTTCCTGTCTCGGCTCTATAATGTTTTAAGATGAGACAGAGAAAGTGATAAGGCTGGAGCTGGAGGGGAAGCATTGTCAAGGATATCTCGAGAAACAAAATGGAGGAGAGTTCAGTGAGGGAACGGGGTGTCATGATATGAATATACAGGTTTCACTGTAAGAGATCATAGGCAAACATGCCATAACAATGACAATAAATATCCCCTATAGTGGAGTTAAGTTAATTTGTAGAACACATTTTTTGTATGGAAGCTAACCAAGGTGCCAATTTACAGCCAATAATGCATAAGAATGTTAACTTGATTCTGTCCGGAAGAAGATCCATCTTAAACATTTTGTTAAGTTAAAAAGCTAAACAAATAAATACATTTAACTTAATAATTATAACTATTATGTTACATTCATCAAGGATACTTTAAAACATTGTACTGTTCCCTATCCGATTGATTATTTACCTTCTTTTTTCACAGTAATAATGAATGCTTTGATTAGCTTTGTTCATATGTTCTTTTATTGATAATTAAGGCCTGTTATGAATACATATCACCTTGTGAAGACTACAAATTAATTCAGCTATAGCCTGACTTACATTGCCTGTGCAGTATGTGCCAGCTTCCCTCCCTCAGGCATAGCTTACAGTATATAAGGAGGTGGAGCAACAGAGTACTTGAACCTGCTGAAGACTGCGTGAGGAAATTGATGTTGATAAGAATCAGAGCTGTGTAATTGTAAACTTTCTGTTGGGAGCCCTACAGTGCTTGCAATATACTCTATGTATTTACTTTTGTTCAGAGAGTGTTTCACTTCAATACACTTTCATCACCAACCTATAATTACTTGATATATTCCCGTTTTGCACTGAAATAATAAAGAACAAAATGTGCTTTTCCTCCGGCTCCTGCTTCTTGGTTGAAAATTCCTTCAAATGCTTGCACGTGAATTAAAAATATGTTTCTTTCCTAGGTGTTTCACTCTTCCGTCTGTGTAATTTTTGTTTGGTCCTTGCCCCTATTAGTATGGGTTAATTCCCGCTTTATTTGGCTCGCAGATAAAAGAGTCAGCTAAATTGCCAAGTTCAATCAAGTCAAGATAAAAGGCTAATGATAGATGCAGGAATTTCCATGGTAAACGGCAGGTCTGCTTCTGGCTCGCACTAATGGGGAGGCTGGGAGGTATTCTGTGTCTGATATTTTAGAGTGGAAGTAAAGGGGAGGGGAAACCTTTCATAGATCATATGCAATGTAATATGAGAGTAAACATAGCCCTGAACCAAGTGGCATCGGCAAAGTATAGCAGCCATGTTATCCCTTGTAATGCGACATACTGAAAGTCAACCAATGCATTTTTTAAATATATTTGCAGTCACCTAATTTGACAGTATCCCCTCCTCCCAGTGGCTGCCAATTCCTCCTGATCCAAAGTGCAATAGCCTTCCATTGTTTGTCAAATATTATATAACTTTAAGCACTGCTTCACCGTGGTAACATTATGATATTATGTTTTTAAAGACACCTTGTTGTCATTCAAACATATTTTTTACAATTCCTTTCCAATAATAATTACCACATCCATCAGTAAAATGCTATAAAAATTCAATGGATATTTATTTTTGTAATGTTTGATATTGTGAACTAACTGTATTATATGCTCTTCATTAAGGTAATATTTATTTCCACATCAAGTATTTTTCCTATATAGTTCTGTAAGCAGCTTTCTCTTGCATGCTTGCAAATAAATAGCTTATGATTTGAATTAGAGGGGGTGGCCTCAATAACATCAAGCTTATGAAAAATACAAACCAGCCCTAAATAAATAATATTTCTGAAAAGCTTATTTTTACAACATTTAAAAGTCAATGTCTTATATTTTGAGGTGTATTTGTGATGTTCTTGTGTGGCATATACTATATTAGCCAATCATGTCTAGCCTTATGCATTCTGCGCACATTGTTTGCTGTGCTCCATGTTTGGCTGTATACATAACATGATAACTCCTCAGTCAACGCCACAAAAGATTTGTCAAAATGATGCAAAGCACATCATTCAGGCTCCTTGGCATTATTTAAAATGAAGTACAGCTGCTCAGACTCAACTGCTGCAACCCTTCCACCCATCCTACTTCAATTTCAATCAAGTTTAAAATAAATGAATAGGACTGTAGGCTGAAAGGTGGAATGCAAAGTTAGGAGGTCAAGTCAAATGAAAACAAAATGGCAGCTGTAATCTGTGGTTCTTTAACAGTATACATGGTGTAAGCAATCTGCAAGTATTACATATTATTCCTGCCCTTCACGACAGCCAGACCTAGTATCAGAAATGGAAAAGAAAGAAGAGGATCAAGCCCTCCTCTCTTCTTCCTGTCTAAACCTTTACATTTATATTCATTTGCCAAATGTATACTATAGTTTTGCAGATAAAATCTAGGAATTACAACAAATATGAATAGGCTGGTAATGGGATAATGTATAGAAAGCTTTACAAAGATATGTCTGCGGTTACGGCTTTAAATGGTGGGATAACTGATTATCAAAATTGAATTAAATCACATTTTATTTATATAGCCAAGTACCACAAATTAGACATTTAATTCTGGGGCCTTGACAGTGTGTCCAGGATACAAGACCACCTGACCTTAGATCCTTGCAGTGGACAAGAAAATACTGTCAAACAAACACCACAATTAATGGGAAAGAAATTGGAAGAACTCCAAGTTAGCTTAGCCCTTTTTGAACCCCCTCTTACAACTGGGCCAGTCAATAAGTTATAATAAATATATTTCCACAGAAAGATTGCGTAGCTGTGGCTTCAAAAAACCTGTCAATCCTCAGTAGTAGATTAAAAGGTTTAACAAAGATCGGTTCATTATGTCAGGTACTAGGGGTGTAACGGTATCCGTATTCACGGTTTTCAGGCACACAAGAGTGTGGCTGAAAGCAAAAAGGAAAAAGTAGTATTCCCACATTGCTGTAGTCTGTAAATACTGTTTTGAAGAAATTCACTTGTCAGTGTACAAAACATTTCAAAGGATTCCCACTCCTTTCGGGACTATCAAACACTTCTTCTTTCAGAGAGTGTGCAGATGTTATTATATCACAAAATGTGCTTTTTTCTATTCCTATATGAAATACATTGTGGATGACCGGTGAAAGTATGCATTTCAGTTTGTGTGTGACCGATCAATTACGCTGGTGAGCAAGTCAGTGTGAAAATGAAAAGAAAACATCAGAAAGGATGCGCAGCTGGGGGTGTATGAGTGTTTCCCCGACTATTTTGAGTCATTGCTGTGTCAAGAAATGTGCGAAGTCATCAGCTCAGGGGAAACTCTATTCAGTGACAAGTCTCTTTTAGTATTCACATCAAGTGTCCAAAAAAAGATCTTCCCACAATTCAGCTTTTTTCCCTTCACAGTACTACCCAAACACTGCACAGCAGTAGAGCAAACACACAGAGCCTGTTATACCCAAGCAAAAAAGGCAAGCAAGTACCTAAATAACCACAAAGGTCTTATCACAAACAGCATAGTTTAGGCTCAAGATTATGCAAAATAGAAACCGTAATCTACCTCATTTATCTGTATGTCTGTACAATTTTGCAGCAAAACAAACATTTGCATCTCAACAGAGATTAAGGTTTAAGCGAATATACAAACACCCGTCTGAAAGCGAGAGACGTTCCACTATACACAAAGTAATGCTAAAATCACTCGCCTAAATAATCCGTGTGTACACAGTGTTCACCAAACCTGCTGCGTTAGGCTGAGTAATCAAGTGGCGGATTTATCTTCTATCAAAGCAGAGAGTAAATAATTACCTCTGGTCGCCGAGCTGTGGACATAGTTTGCTTTAGGAGGAGTGGCGGTGGTGTGGGTCATACCTCGCATTCTCGGGAGCCTGAGATGGTGTAGGTGCAGGGTCCGGTCCCGTTCACGAGCACGTCCATGGCCTCAGAATTGGTGGGCTTGTAGTCCACATAGTACTCCTGCAGTGGAGAGCTCAGGGTGCGCTCCGTCTCTCTGGCTTTCTTGCGACGTTTGCGGGCTGCTGCCGAATGCTCCTGCAGCTGCTTGACGCTACTGGGATAGCGCTTCCAAGACACGTAGATAACCAACAGGATCATGGCAACCGATAGAAAAAGGGCGACGCTTCCAGCCACAATCTTATGGAAGGACACGGGTTCCATGTCTTGTTCTGGCGGAGGTGCCACAGGGGGTGTAACGGCTGACAATGTGGGGCCTCTGATAGACCCCTCTCCTCTCTTTCCAGGACTAGTGGGAAAAGCCAGAATAGCTGGGCGGCGTTCAGTCTGCACAGGGATGCTGGACGGGGATGGAGGAATACTCACAGTGAGCGTTGCCGGTTGGTTCGATTGACAAACACCAAAAGCTTCGACAGCGTCCATCACTTTCTCACCCTGGGCTTTCTTGGGGGAGGCGCAGATCATCGTGGTCTCCTTTGCACCTTTGAAATTCCTCAGCCATGACACCAGAGGACAGATCGCAGGGCCACAGTCCCATACATTCCCAGCTAGGCTAATCGTTGTCAGAGAGATCCAGGCATCAGCCACCTCCTGGGAGATGTTGGTCAGCTTGTTGGAGTCCAGATTGAGGGTCTGCAGGTTGGGTAGGCATTGGTAAACCACAGCATCAACTTCCATCAAATCATTTCCAGACAGATCCAGTTTCTGGATGGAGGCCCAAGTCCAGGTCAGGCCCTGGCTCATTGAGCGAATGCGATTCCACTGCAGGTAAAGCGCCCGCAGATTGTAGAGGCGAGGGAAGTGTGAGAAATTGATCTTTGAGAACTGATTATGCTCCAGATGCAGCTCAGTGAGCTTCACTAGGCCTGAAAATGCATTCCGGGTGATACTGCGCAAGCGGTTGTATCCCAGATCCAGAAACTCAAGATTTCTGCAATCTTGGAAAAGACGCATTGGAACGGTTTTCAGGGAATTTGACCGTATGTGTAGGCTGAGAAGCTTCCGTAGGCCCTGGAACTGCCCAGGCTGCAAGGCTTGCAGTTTGTTATACGACAGGTCCAGATTTCGCAAATTAGGGACAGGGTGGAATGTGGTGTTGTGGAGGGACGTGATCTTGTTGGAACTCAGGATCAGCTCCTTGAGCCTGCGGACCCCCTGAAAGGCCATTACATCCACAGTGGCAATGTAATTGTGGTCCAAGTAGAGCCAGATGAGGTGGTTGAGGCCTACAAACTGGCCTGCTCGAAGACTGACGAGGCTGTTGTACCGTAAAGACAGGCCTTCACAGCCTCCAGAGAGGTTCTTCGGGACATCTCGAAAGGCGCTTGACTCACAGTAGACAATTTTCCCATCACAGCGACAGCTCTTGGGGCATTGGCGCTCGCTCAAAGATGGATTTGCCGCCAGCCACACCTGCATCAGGAGTTGGACCACTAGCCAGCGACGCCGCAGAGCAGAGCCTGTAGAAATGAGAGAAAGGGGGAGAGGAGAAAAAGTTCAGCACATGTGATTTGAACAACAAAAAAAACCTTTATAGTTTCCCTTTGGTAGACAAATGCTTGCCACACACTGAGTAGTTTTCCATTTTTCCATTTGAAAAAAATGTTGTCCAACACCTGAGATAAAATCAGGATATACTGTATATTTAAACCCACTCAGACATGACTTGTTGCCCAATAAAAAGACAAGGCTCAGCAATCTTGTCAGTTTTTGCTGCTAACTTCTGAATAAGTATCCCGAGGCAAACATTTTGTTTTTGTAATTTATTGGTTCGCACAATTTGAAAATACAGAAACATAACAAATAACAAATGATAAGCAGTGCAGGAAGAGACAAAAAAACAGCTGGCCTTATTTGGAGCCTCGACCTCCATTATGTTAAAAATCACAATGTTATAGAAAAAACAAGATCAATATACAAACAATAGCTTAAAGTCAGACATTGTATTTGCTTCTTCAATTAGATGGGATGTTTTATTATCAAGAAACAATACTGCTGCAGTGCTGCTGTTGCTGCAAAAAAGGTTTTACTCAGTGTATTGATTAATTTCTGTGGATCTACATTAAAATGGCACTAACCCCTTTGCCAAAATCTATAAAAAAAAGCTTGAAATAAATGTCACCAAATATCAAACTTTGGAAGTCAAGTCAATCAGAAATAAGTGCTGCTATATGCTAGATCATTGCACAAATTATGTATTTACTTCTCTATAGTCAAATATTAGTTTGGCCTCCTAAAATAAGTTAACCTCATGTTCTTCTAATTCCTATTTATTTGAGTTATGGTGCTGCTTTTTGTTGCTGCTGCAGAAGGGACATATTGGCAGGCTTTGGCAACACATGTGCCCTCTAGGAGCTGTTAAATACAGGAAGTGGCTATTCAGGATGTACCAAGTGGGGCCACATTATGGGGGGGATCGTGATTTCTAGTTTGGCAATTCTAGTTTATTTAATAGGACTTAATCAGTATAAATGGGTAAGCTATCAAACAAAAACAAAAGCACCATAAACAAACTAAGAGTTCTTGTTGTATTTGTATTTATTTGTAATTTAGTTGGTAGTGTTTTTTGTTGTTGTTAGCCCTTGTTTGGCCTGTTCCATCAGTAAACATGTTATTATGTCGCTTCAGTTGTTTGGTGACTGTGTTTAAAGTCAGTTTAGTCAATTCAGTTAAATTATGTCGATGTTTAGTTTTACGTTAGATGAGTTTACTTCTCTTAAAGGTGGGGTAGGTAATTTTGGAGAAACCAGCTCGAGTGCGCTAGAATTTGAAAATACACAGCCGGAATAAATCTGCTACTTCCTTACAGAGCCCCTCCTCCAACACACACGAAGGTGCACATGACCAATGAGGGCAC